GTGGAAATAGTGAAACTGTATTTGGTTGGGGGATTTGGGAAGGGATTTGAAAAGGAAAAGGAAAAAGAAAAAAACTGATGAAATGTGAATAAATATCCTTACATTTCACTCTCATACACCTTTTCTCTTTTCCTTTCTAAATTTCTTCCCAAATCTCCAACCAAACACACAGGCTGAATGCTTATATTAGAATCAGCTAATCGTAGTATCTCTAGATCAAATCAATCATTTAAACCAAATTGACTACCGTAAAAAGCAATTAACAATTAACAGCAACAAAAAAAAGAGAAAAAAAGACATTAAACAAAGCCCTAACTAACCTTTGTACCGTAATTGGAAGTGAGGGAGCAAGAAAAGGATATAGTGGATGGCTAGAAAGGCAACCGCGGGGGAGAAGAGATGTTGGCGGCAGCGGCAAAGCGGTGGAGCTGTGTAGAGAGTCTTCTCCACATGGCTTTTGCTTTGGTTTTGGGGTATGGAGTATTTGGTTTTGGGGTTTCATAAATCAGAAACCTCTTTCTCACTGTCTGTCTGTCTGTCTGGTTTCTACTGATGTAGGGATTGTGTCAACTCACCCCGCCTGTGTGAATGAATATTTATGGTGTCTTGGTCACGCCTCGCCCACCCGCCCCCTCCAATATCGAGTATTGGAGTGTTTTTTGGGGGGTGAGTATTTATTTTTTTTTTAAATATGGGAAACACTATATCCACTTTTCTGAATTATAATTAAAAAAATAAATTTATAATTAACAACAATGATAGAGACCACTAATTTTGGAAATCTAAAAAGATCACTAATGGCATGACATTCAATAAAAAAAGAAAAAAAATACAACACCAAGATCAAAATATCAAATCATTCATGGTGGGGCCCACTGCCACATCATTAGTTGTAGCACTAATTAGTGCTCTCACTCATTTTCCTATAATTAAACATAGGAAAATGTTTCGCAACTCTAGAGGAAGAGCTCTACGACGGCTCTAATGACGTGGCAACAACTTTTTCCTACTAGCCCTTATCTCTCTTTCTCATTCGATTTGATTTCAAAATTATTTTGCTTGTTTCTCTCTCTCTCTTCACCCTCTCACTGTTTCCTTCTCTCTCTCTCTTCGACCTCTCACTCCCCGACGATCGCAGCTCTAATATTACAATCTAAATATTCATCAACCTATGATATCAAAATATTCATCTAGTTGCAGTTGTAATTTATTGTAAAAATGAATATTGTAAAATTGCCACCTATGATCTCATTTTGTGCTAGAACCTTTGAAATATTCATCTAGGTTCTCAGTTAATGTTTAAATAAATTACAGTTTAAATATTCATCTAGGTTATATCATTTTTTTTTGAAAAAGATATTTTTTGTGCTACAGTTGCCATTTCTGTGTTTCTTCATCAACAATTCAAATCCTAACTAATCGATGTTACAGAGTTGGGAAGAGAGTTTACCTGAGAAGAGGGATTTCTGATGGAAAGAGATGCCGAAGAGCGAGAGAGGGAAGACGGAGAGGCAGAAGCAACGATGCCGATTGTCTGAGGAGAGAGAAGACGCCAGACGGTGGAGGAGAGGGCCGGCGAGGAGAGAACTGCAAATGCCGAAGAGCGAGAGAGGCAAGACGGAGAGGGAGAAGAAGCGAAGTGTCGTTCGCCAGAGGAGAGAGAAGACGCCGGACGGTGGAGGAGGGAGAAGACGCCGGACGGTGGAGGAGGGAGAAGACGCCGGACGGTGGAGGAGGGAGAAGACGCCGGACGGTGGAGGAGGGAGAAGACGCCGGACGGTGGAGGAGGGAGAAGACGCCGGACGGTGGAGGAGGGAGAAGACGCCGGACGGTGGAGGAGGGAGAAGACGCCGGACGGTGGAGGAGGGAGAAGACGCCGGACGGTGGAGGAGAGGGACGACAGAGGAGAGATGGTAGAGTTTTTTCCAAAACTCTCTCTCAAAATAATTTTTCAAAACATCTTTTGAAAAAAAATCAAACCAAACAAATTTTCGTACGTTTTGTCTCAAAATATGTTTCTCAAATACAAACCAAACAAGGCCCGATGTTTCTACTTTTTATTTCGTAAAAATTACAATTACACCTTATTTTTAATATAAATATTTTTATTATGTATTGAAAATTACATCCCTTTCTTTAAGGTTTAAACTTTTATTACAGTTTAATCTTTCTGTTAATCAATCGTTGAGTCAACTACCGGAAAAAATTAATATAAGAAATTAATTTTTTTAAATGGCTATTTTATCCTTATTTGCATATATAAAATTGACAAATAATTTATTGTTTAGGAAAATTTTATATGCCCCAGTCGTGGTCTTTGGTTATGACTTATTATTGTGTTAATTATAACTATTGATTAAAACATTATTTTGATTATGATTCAAAAGACATTTGGTTATTCCTTATCCGGTGTTTGGTTATAACTATTTTTTTTAGTTATGATTAAAAAGGATCTAATTATAATATTTGTGATAATTAACACCACAAAAACTTGTGTATCATAGCATTACCTAAATGTTTAATAGTGTAATAATATATGTATAGAATAAATTTTTATAATTTCCTACGGATTTTCTTTACTTGTCTAGTAATTTTTTAAAAAAAAAAAGTTTTTTTTAATAAGAGTAAAATGGGCATTTAAAAAAATTAATTTCTTATATTAGTTTTTTCTGTTAGTTGACTTAACGATTGATTAACGGAAAGATTAAATTATAATTGAAGTTTAAACCTTAGGGAAGGTGTAGCACTTGTGCCCTTTTAAAACTTTTGAGAAGTGTATTTGAACTCTTTATTCTATTTTGAAAATCTTTGGTGTTGTTACGGGTTGGTTTTGAGGAGTACAATCCAATTTAAACTTGTTGGGTTTGGTTGTTCGCACTTATTCTTGTCAAAAGTTCCTTGGAGACTTAGAAATTCCATTCTAGGGTCGACACCAACCTTCCTAGGGTCGACCCTTACCTGTTGGTGAAGTTCTAGAAGTATTGCTGGAAGATAGGGTAAACACCAGACTGGGAAAGGGTCGACTCTCTTATGTCTGTGTGTTAGTTGCTGGAAGATATGATAGACACCAGACTGGGAGAGGGTCGACCTTCTTATGTCTGTGTGTTGGTTGCTGGAAGATAGGGTCGACCCTCTCCTGTCTTAGGGTCGACACTTGCGACTTTTTCCAGATTTTTTTTTGTTAGTTTGGGCCTATTTTTTGGGGATATTTTGACTTGATATTTTGGGTTGACTTTGGGGCTTATTTCTATTTGGACCTAGTACTATAAATAGGCTTCCACTTAACCCTTTTCCTTATTTCTTCTTCTCTTTTCTCCTTTAAAACCATGAGACACTCTCTTTTTCTCAAAAAAACACTTTTCACTCATAGATCCTTAGATCTACTTGCTTGAAGGCCTCTCCACATCTTACTCCTTTGAGATACATTGTAGAGCTTGTCGAGGGCTCCATTTTGATCGGAGCAAAACGTGGTTTCTTCTCCGTCGACTTTTGGGGTTTTTCTTCCTTCTTCCTCTTCTAATATTGAGGTAGGGATTTCTTTGCTCCTTACCAATACTTCATCTATGGATAGACATGTGGTAGTTTTTATTACATAAAAACCATATTCATTATGGATTTTCTTGAAAGCCATGAAAGGGGATTTTAAGGTTTGATATTTATGATTGGTGTTGTTAAGTTATTTGTTGTTGAGTTATTTGGGAAATTATTTACTATGTTTGTGAAGAAAATGAGGAAAGCCCTAATTTGATAATGTTGGTATAATGGATTTAAAAGAGAGGGAGTTGAATAATCTTTGTATTTTGCTAATATGGGTTGGATAATTGTGTTTATATCAAAAGAAAATAAAAAGAGAAGTAACCATGGTGTTAGCATTGTTTTAGACTAATCACGTGATGTTGAGTTGAGTTATGGTTTTGGTACCAATGGAATTGGTTTTGTAAAATAAATGTGATGGATTTGGTTTTGGTTTTGGTTTTGTAAAATGATGAGAATGAATTCTTAGAAAATGGTTGGAGTTGTGTGGATTGGAAAGGAAACAAAAGTGGTCTTTTTGAAAAAAAATGAAACCATTACCCTTTGTAAAATTGATAATGAGCTTGAGGTCGGATTTTTGGAATCCTTTATATATTATCTTTTGTTATTGGACTGAAAGTCTTGCGAGAATTGGGTTTTGTTTTCCTTTCGTATGAAATGTAGAAATGGATAGACATGAATTTAAATGGTGGGGTTGGATGTTTGAGATCTCTCACCTATGAAAATATGAATAGTTTGTCTATTTGGAGATTGTATAATTGTTTAGAAATATATGTTTTGAGCTATCGGGGGAGGATAGCTATGACTGTTGTAGAAATTGCATGTGGACTAGGTGAATTGAAATTGATCACTTGTGCTTGTCATTGAATATGACTATAACTACATACATTGGATATGTATGGCGATTTGGGAGTGGAAAGGGAATGTACTCCATATGCGATTATGTGTTCTTATACATTGTGCATGTATTACACTTAGGTTGTTATGCATTCTAGTATGTTAAAATATTTGGAAATGTGCTTGTTTGGTAAAGAGTTTTGAAAAGAATTTTGAATTGAGTGGGGAATTATTGATGTGATATTTGATATTTGATACAAAAATTTACAACTCATAACAAACATACAACTCAAAATTATTTTAAAGCACATAAAATTTTTTAAAAAATTCAGAAAATATTTTTTTCGAATATATAAAAATTAACATATCAATTGCAAAAAAAAATAAAAATAAAAATAAAAATAAAAAAATCACTATTCCGGTTAACCTGCCGGACGACCGGTTAGGCCAAATTTTGAAAAAAAATTTGAAAAACACGTTCCGTTTGACAGAATTTTCTGCAGAGTTATGAAAAATTAATTCCACAACTCTATTCAAACATCATACTCAAACCATCAAGCAAAAACTAATTTGAAAACATAACCAAACACAGCCTTAAAAAAAAAAAAGAGGGGAGATAAGGAGAGGAATTATACCATGAGCATAGCTTTGACCTGTGCTATGGTGAGAAGGGTTTTGGCTTCACCTCCTCCATCTTTCTGCTCCAACAAAAATTGCAAGAAATCCTTACTCTCCTTCTCCCCACCCTCTCCATCCCGTTTCATCCGTTGATCGATCATCATGTCGAAGATCTCATCCACCCGTTTCATCATCCCTCTCATCTTCTTTTCAATCCCCTGCAAATCAAAACGGGCCAAACCCGGATAAAAATCCGATATGTTAGGCTTCCCCAACAACTGAATCATCCCATCGATGCTAACTCTATCCTCCCCCTCAATGCTACAACCCCACAACATGTTCGTAACAACGTTGAACATAATAAAAAACATCTGATCACTTATGTTCACCGGAAACCCGACCCGGTTTCGGAAGATATACCCGATTGTTCTCCGGATCTCCCGGCGCCGAAGACTGTAGACAGAGTCCAACCGAGTGTTGGAGAGCATTCCACGCACAGCCAACTTCCTGAGCATCCGCCACTCGGAACCGTAGTGACTCCACGCCACGTCACCGCCACCGTAGGCTGACTGCCTGGCCGCGACAGAGACATCACGGTTGGCGAAGGTGGTGTCGTGGTCTTTGAGCATCTCGCGTGCGATGGCCGGAGAGCTGACTACGATGGTGAGCTTTTGGCCGAGCCAGAGGGTGAGGATGGGACCGTAGGTCTTAGCCAGGTTTGTGATATATGTGTGAAACTCGGGGCCAAGAGAGAGGAGGTTCCCAAGTAGGGGTAGGGGTTGAGGTCCTGGTGGCAATGATGGTCGTGGCTTGTTCTTTTTTGATTGGTTGATGAATGTCCATGCAAACTATGACATGGTGGTGAGGATAACCAACACGGTGGCAGTGAGATATATGTTCGACAACGAAAGCTCATAGCCATTGCTTTTGGTCGTCCACCACCACCATGACAGAGTATGTGAGGTGAAGGTGACTAGTTTTTGGAGCATGGTTATGAGGCTTAGAGGATGGGATAATAAAGAATGGCAAAGGGTGAAAGTTGCATGCAAAACCCACATGTAATGGTCGTAATTTATAATTGTGTAGGGGGAATAATAGGACAGGAAGAATTAAACCTTTTATCACATATTCGCTTCATTTGGATAGTGGGTTGATTTTTTAATTTTTTTTATTATTTTAGTTTGGGTTAAAAAATTTGGCTTGGAAAGAATTTTTTGGCTTTTTTGATTTTTTTTTTTATGAGAGAAGAGTGCAATGATTATAGGTTAGATGTGATGTTTTGTTTTTTTGCAACTAAAATAGCCTATTTTGTCTTTTTATAGCTAAAATAACCAAAAAAAACTCCAAATTCATCTTCCGAAATGGAGCCATTATATTTTAAAATAAAAATCTTTTTATTTATTTATTTTTTATTTAGTAATATTATAAATTCAAACTTACTGCCTACAAATTATCTAGAATTATCAAATTATAATTTAAATTTATTTTACATAGGAATTCTATACTAGACAAATTTAATCTCAACCATACACTTTCATTTGTGATAAATTTAAAATAGTTAAGTGGCCAATCTCAAACTATTTTATTTTTTTTTTTTTTTTTTTTTTTTACAAGTATTAGTTATTTTTATGAAAAAAGAAAAATGTGATCATATATACGTGAGTGAAATGTGTCTGCAATGCTACACTTATCACTTTTAGTTTATCATTTTATGTGTCAGAAGCATATTACTAGTATAATAGATCTTATCATTCATATCCATCTCCAATGTAACTATTGACATATCAGTTACTACACGAAAAATGATATAAAGAAGTGATAAATATAATATTACTCTAGTAAAATCTTGTTATAATAAAAAATAAATAAATTTACAATTAAAGTTTTCATCCATAAAATTGAATAATGGCGTTGTAATGATATTTTTAAAATTTTAAGTTATAATAATAAATATTTCAATTTGAAATCAATGAATAATAATCATTCTATAATCAACAGCCGGGACAATACGTGTCGTTGCGTAACAAAGTATATAAATAGCGATGGAGAAATTATTGGTTGATTTTTGGGCATCACGTGAGCACATCTGAGGCCAATCATAAATCTCTATATCCCTTCATATTTTTCAATCATTCAACAAAAAATTGTAAGCCCAACTCCTCTACCAATCAAAACATGCATGGGACAACACGTAACTATACTCCAAGACGAACAAATAACTTATCCTATACCCCAAGACCAACAAATAACTTATTCTAGCAATGGGTTTCTCCATAGGCCATGATTCCCTCTTGACTAGGGGATATTGTTCGGGTTTATAAGGCTTATTATTAGTCTTGTTTTGATAATTTTAATCATTAGTTTGTAATTCTTGTCTTGCATACTATTCACAAAAAAAATAGGTTAATTTAATAATAATAATTTATTCAATTTATCTCGTTTGTTATAAAATAAAATGAATGTTCTATTTTCAAAATTACACTACTTGGCCTTTTTTTTAGTAAATAAATATAATAAATTAAATAGATTACGATTATTAAATTAATCTTAATAGTGTACACAAAAATTTTTATAAAATAAATAATTTAAATCATTAAAATAATAAGACTTTTGATAACCCTCCGAACCTAGACAACACCCCTTAATTTAAATTGTAAACTAGAGGAAGCTCACGAACTCAAACAACACCCCTTAATTTAAATCTTAAACTAGAGGAAAGCCCAACACTTCGCTACCGTGCTGTTGTTTGGTAGGATTTGGGAGCAACCACACTGTCTCGCTTCACTGCCAGAAAAAATATTTTGGTGGCTAAAAAAGCATTTTTGGTCGTTAAAAGTATAATTTTTAGCGACTAAAAAAGTATTAGTAGTCAAAAATAAATACTTTTGGCGACTAAAAAAATATAGTAGTTAAAAGTATAGGTTTTGACGACTAAGATCTGTTTGGTCACCGATATATAGTTTTTACCGATTAAAAAAAATTTAGTAGCCAAAAGTAAGGCCCTTTGGCGACTAAAAAATTTTAGTAGCCAAAAGTGAGGCATTAGGCAACTAAAAAGATGTTTGGTCGCCAAAAGTGGGACTTTTACCGACCAAAAAAATTTTAGTAGCCAAAAATGTGTCTTTTACCGAGTAAAAAACTTTTAGCAGCCAAAAGGGAGGCTTTTAGGCGACTAAAAATAATTTAGTAGCCAAAAGTGAGGCATTGCGCGACTAAAAAGAAGTTTAGTCGCCAAAAGTGATAATTTTAACGTGAGAATTAAATTTTTTAACGACTAAAAAATAATTAGTAGCCAAAAGTATAGAATTGACGACTAAAATTATGTTTAGTCACAAAAAGTGATCTCTTTTTTTTTCTACTAAATAATTTATTTTTACATAAATTATGTTCAATAAAAAATAATTATCTTTATATATATACTTTTATATTAATACGGGTCTATGTATTATATAAATAATATATATTGCATATATAATCATATGGTGTTATAGAGGTGTAGTGAAAAAAGTGTGTTGTATAAGGTTTATGGTGTGAGAGGGTTGATGGTTCGAATCTCCTCAAGAGCAAATGAGTGAGTGTAATTTTTTTTTTTTTTTTTTTTTCACAAATGAGCTTTTGGCGACTAAAAGGTTTGGTCGCCAATTCTTTAAATATTGGCGACTAAAACATTGGTCGGTAAATGTATAATTTTAAAAAATATAATTGACTATTGGTGACCAATAATTTAATAGGCAAACATTTAATTTTGCCGACCAACTAAAATTTAGTAGCTAAAAGGTAACATTGCCGACTAAAAAAATAGTAGCCAAATGTTTCACTTTCAGAGACTAAACAACAATCACCGACAGGGTTTCACTACAAGAAATGTCACTTTTGGCTACCAAAATATTGGTCGCCAAAAGTCACTTATTTAGTCGCCGAAGGTGTTTAGCGACCAAAATTTTTTGTCGCTAAGTTCGTCGCCTTTACCCTGTCGGCGATAGTATTGGCGACTAAAATTTGTTTGGTCGCCGAAAGTGTACACATTTGGCTACTAATCTTAGTTTAGTCGCCAAAAGGTATGTTTCCGCCACTAAAGTATTAGTCGCCGAATGAGGCTTTTTGGCTACTAACTTGTTGTGGTCGGGGAAGGTATCACTTTTAGCTACTAAATAATTGGTCGCCGAAAGTACACATTTGGCTACTAATCTTAGTTTAGTCGCCAAAAGGTATGTTTCCGCCACTAAAGTATTAGTCGCCGAATGAGGCTTTTTCACTACTAAAGGCTTCTGGTCGGGGAAGGTGTCACTTTTAGCTATTAAATAATTCATCGCCCAAAGTACACATTTGGCTACTAATTGTAGTTTAGTCAGCAAAAGGTTTGTTTCCGCCACTAAAGTATTAGTCACTACAAGTGCTACCATAATTTGAGAATAACTATTATAGACCAAACATTTTTGTCACCAATAGAATACATATTTATAGCGACTAAGTAATTTTTGTCATTGTTACTTTTGCCCACTAAAAGTTTCATAGCCAAAAGCCTCCTCGCATTCACTTCGTCACTTTTTGCCACCAAATGTTTTAGTCGCTAAATGATACCATTTTTTTCCGTGACTAAAAAATTTAGTGGCCAATAGTTTCTTTCTCTCATTCTCAATTGTTTTAGTTACTAATTATTTGGTCGCAAAAAATTAATGGGTTATGTTTTTGCTACTAAATTCTTAGTCACCAAACATTTGATTACGTATTTAGCTACCAAAATATTTGGTGGCCAAATACTTTAACGTTTTTTTTTTTTAAAATAAAATTTTCTAAACCACCTGTATCCATTATTAATACAACTCGTACCCTGTATAAACAATATAATCCATCAACGGTAAATATGTTATCAAGCATTCAACAACGTGCACACATTTCTCACTTCCAGCCATCCAAAACATTAATATTGAACATCCACTTATATATATATATATATATATATATTACAAATTTCGTAAGAACCAAGTCTAATCCCACGTCAATAATTTAATTCCATACATAATACTAGAATAACCAAATTAATTGTACACCTAGAACTTCTGTACCACAACAAAAATTATATTAACTAATGAAAGACATACAAACATGGACCCATCATGAGTTCTTGTTTTAGCTTTTCAATGACAGTAACAAAGTATCTGAAAATCAACAAATGCCACCGGAGTTCCATATGTGCTTTGCATCTTCAATTTTATAAATCCATGGCAACTGGGAAAGGACAAAAAGAAATAGAAAATTAAATTCCACAAGCTTCACATATTAGGAAAATACATGATAAAAATAATTACTCCAAACCTTGAAAAGACTTGAATTAGCTCTTGCTCTGAACAAGTTGGCCCCAAATTTGCCACAAATAGTGTTGGACATGCATTAACATTTTGCGGAACATGAGGTGCAGAGTAGTTGTTCTGCTAATGTAGAAAAAATCCCGAGAGAACTGAATTAGTGAATAAAGATTCAAGCATACTGGATAAACTATTTAACATGAGGAATTGGTTATGCAAATGCAAAAGGCCCAATAACAAGATCAATTAAAATGATGGATAATGATGCTATTGGAAAATACCACCTAGAAGTAGTGTGTTAGTCTATTGCATCAAGGTAATATAGTTTTCAAGTAGGTTTGTGGATCATCTTCAAAGAAGAATTGACTTCTGACAACCATAAATACTAGTATCCAAGGGGACAATGTTAAAATGGTTAGGATAAGAGCCATGGAGAATTTATTTTGTTTAATTTTCCAAATATCCCAAAATGGACAATTGAACTACACTACAAAGGCAGGTGACTCCAAAACAGCCCAGAAAAATTAACCCAACAAGTTTGACGTATGAGGCACTTGCTTTCGCAAAGAATTAGTTTCATAGCTAAAGCTCTCACGTTGACATATTTAACAGATGGCTTGACAACCAACGACCACAGAACGAGTCCACAGAGTTCTTTAGAGTATTTGAGGGTAACTAGTTTATCCCATTTTTAGAGTATTTGAGGGTAACTAGTTTATCCCATTTTTAGA